CGCACGCACATCCGCGGCCGCCGCCTCCCCCGCCCCGCCCCGCCGCCGGCGGAAACGGGTGGGCCGCGCTCCCTGCGGCCCGGGGGTAGCGCCTGGGGCGGCCGCGCTGAGGTTCTCCCGCCGGAGCCGGTGATGCCGGTCCCGGATCAGCGCTGCTCCCGCCGTTCCTCTCCCTCCTTGCGGCGGGCGAGCGCGGCGGCGGCGGGGGGCTGAGGGCCCGGGTGGCGGTGCCGGGCCGCCATGGTGCCCTGGGGAGCGGTGCTGTGGCGGCGGCTGCTGAGGAAGCGCTGGGTCCTCGGCGTCGTCTTCGGGCTTTCCCTCGTCTACTTCCTCACCAGCACCTTCAAGCAGGTCAGTGGCCTCCCCCGAGCCCCCGGGGAGGTGCGGGCCCGGGCCCCGGTACCGCTGCGGGGTGGGTTCCAACATCCCCTGTCCCGGGGTGAGTTCTGCTCTTCCAGTGCTGTCGCTGAACTCCGGGGAGAGAAGGGCATCGGAATTAATAAATAAAGAGTTTAAAAAGCCGTATCTGATGCTGTGTTCGATAGCAATGGTGTGTTGAGCCAAAATGGGGCAAAAAAAAGTCTTGAAGGGACTTGATTATTCTGTTGAAATAGCTCTTGTGAACTGTGATTCCAGTAGCAAGGAACTTAGAAAAGAAAAATATGTGTACCTGGAGTTATTTAATGTAATATATGTTACTTTTCTGGTTGTAGTAACCGAGTTCAGCTGTGTTAGCTGGTTCTGTGGTGAACTTGCACACTTGTTTTATGATTGTGTTCCTTTCACGCTGTCTGCAGCAAACAGTGAACTACCCAGAAGTAGCGTGTTGCTCACTTCACTGACCCTTGTGTCTCCTGTGCTGTGGCGTTCACGAGTAGGCATTTGTGATAAATAAATATATACATAAATGTATTTATATATACACGCATATGTAGGTATATATAGATATATGTAGATATAACTATAAATACAGTTATATACATACACACACATATATGTATACACAGAGAGACATGGAGTTGAGGCCTTTTTTTCCCCCAATTAGGTGGGGGAAGGAGATTCCTGCTGGACCACGTAGCTGAACGCACACATATATACACGCATATGTAGATATAGATATATGTAGATATATCTATAAACACAGTTATATACATACATCCTTGGGAAAGACAGAGAGGAGCAGAAACCCTTAGTGCTTCAACCCCAGCATGCATGCATGACCCAACAAGGCCTTTTTCCTCGGGGACTGGCACCTGCAGCCCTGCTCACTGCACAGACACTCCACTGGGCGCCTGCTGCGCTGTACTTTGCCTTCATGGTGTATCCATACACACACACGTGTGCGTGATAAATAAATATATACATAAATGTATTTATATATACACGCATATGTAGCACAGTGAGCTTCACCTCTCCATCTCCTTGGGAAAGACAGAGAGGAGCAGAAACCCTTAGTGCTTCAACCCCAGCATGCATGCATGACCCAACAAGGCCTTTTTCCTCGGGGACTGGCACCTGCAGCCCTGCTCACTGCACAGACACTCCACTGGGCGCCTGCTGCGCTGTACTTTGCTGTATACATGCATATGTAGATACATATATAGATATATGTAGATATATCTATAAATACAGTTATATACATACACAGATATATATGTGTCCCCACATACATACATATATACATATATATATATATGTATACACAGAGAGACATGGAGATGAGGCCTTTTTTTTCCCCAATTAGGTGAGGGAAGGAGATTCCCGCTGGACCACGGAGCTGAACGCACACATATATACACGCATATGTAGATATATATATAGATATATGTAGATATATCTATAAATACAGTTATATACATACACAGATATATATGTGTCCCCACATACATACATATATACATATATATATATATATGTATACACAGAGAGACATGGAGATGAGGCCTTTTTTTCCCCAATTAGGTGGGGGAAGGAGATTCCCGCTGGACTACGGCGCTGAACGCCCCGAGGTGTGGGGAGCAAACCGGCTCTAGGGAGCAGCAAGCCAAGCCCAGCCCAGCCCAGCCCAGCCCAGCCCGGCCCGGCCCGGCCCAGCCCGCCCGGGGGTAGCGCCTGGGGCGGCCGCGCCGAGGTTCTCCGTCGGAGCCGGTGATGCAGGTCCCGGATCAGCGCTGCTCCCGCCGTTCCTCTCCCTCCTTGCGGCGGGCGAGCGCGGCGGCGGCGGGGGGCTGAGGGCCCGGGTGGCGGTGCCGGGCCGCCATGGTGCCCTGGGGAGCGGTGCTGTGGCGGCGGCTGCTGAGGAAGCGCTGGGTCCTCGGCGTCGTCTTCGGGCTTTCCCTCGTCTACTTCCTCACCAGCACCTTCAAGCAGGTCAGTGGCCTCCCCCGAGCCCCCGGGGAGGTGCGGGCCCGGGCCCCGGTACCGCTGCGGGGTGGGTTCCAACATCCCCTGTCCCGGGGTGAGTTCTGCTCTTCCAGTGCTGTCGCTGAACTCCGGGGAGAGAAGGGCATCGGAATTAATAAATAAAGAGTTTAAAAAGCCGTATCTGATGCTGTGTTCGATAGCAATGGTGTGTTGAGCCAAAATGGGGCAAAAAAAAGTCTTGAAGGGACTTGATTATTCTGTTGAAATAGCTCTTGTGAACTGTGATTCCAGTAGCAAGGAACTTAGAAAAGAAAAATATGTGTACCTGGAGTTATTTAATGTAATATATGTTACTTTTCTGGTTGTAGTAACCGAGTTCAGCTGTGTTAGCTGGTTCTGTGGTGAACTTGCACACTTGTTTTATGATTGTGTTCCTTTCACGCTGTCTGCAGCAAACAGTGAACTGCCCACAAGTAGCGTGTTGCTCACTGTGCTGACCCTTGTGTCTCCTGTGCTGTGGCATTCACGAGTAGGCATTCGTTAATTGTGGGCAAAGCAGGTGGATTGGGATGGCAGAAGGGATGTGTGTGCCTGGTTGCAATGCCGTCTTTTCCCCGCAGGAAGAGCGGACGGTGAGAGATCGGAATCTCCTCCAAGTGCAAGAGCACGAGCAGCCCATCCTGTGGAAGGTGAAGTTCAGTTCGGGAAACAGCAGTCAGCCGAGTAACCAGTGCAGGAATTCTGTGCAGGGGAAGCTCCTCATTACAGATGAACTGGGTATACCTGATACTAAGAACTTATTCTGCGTACCGCAGTGGTGAATGCTGCTTTGCCTCTCTGATTGTTGGTGGCACTTTCAAGTAACGACTGCCCCTTATAAAGGCATTTTTACTGCACAACCTCAGCTGCTGCCGTTCTATCCTGAATGTTGCTGTGGCTGATGGGATTCTGTGCACGGTCGGCTTGGGTCCAGCTGGGCTCAGCTCGGGCATGGAATCTTCTGAGTGTGGCCATACTGTTTCCAGGACCACCTTAGATGGAAAGAGCTCCAGTTACCTTTGCATGAAGCTCAAACGTTAAGTCCTGCTCAATTTTGTGTGGTTGCTTGCGAGCTATTCCCATCTCCCTGCAGTGTGTTCCTACCATCCGGGTATGTTAGGCAGAGCAGTTGAGGAAACCTGATGGGCTTTGTATAGAGGCAACTCAGGACTGACATAATTAGTGCTTAGTCACAGTTAACAAGCTCACCTGACCCTTATAAACCCAAAGATATTTCTTGCAGGTTCTTATATTAACTGCTTGTTTTAAGAGCATGGAGCGATTACTGCCCTGCACGTCTCCTTCCCCAGTGTGCCTGTTGTTCAGATGCTGGGCCTTTCTTGACCAGAAATCAAAGCTGTAGGATTTTGCATCAACATTAAATTTAGCACTGCCTGAACGATGCTTACTGCTGATTCACTGAGGTCTGTAAAATCACAGATATCCTTCACGGTCTAACACTGTGGTAGCACAGCTTCCATAAGGACATACGCTGTGCTTCTGTACTGTGAAGGATTCTGCTCAACAATGAATATTACAGCCCTGCACGGATAAATCTAAGTCTCTTCATATTGAACTGTAAAGAGAGTTATCCAGATGTAGACCAATTGAAAGAACATGTTACAGTTTTTTTCCAGTACAGTCATCACCCATCACCTTTCCCCCTTCTAGTCACAACAATGAATTACGCCAAAAAGAAATCAAAACTTAAATATTCTGCATTTAAATACTCATACTTACAGCATTCAAGAGTAGGTACACAATAGTTGTGCAGGTAACACCAGGCTGTTGTGAAACTCAGCTCTGTGTCTAAGTGTTATTTCAAAGAATCGAAGGAGATCATAATCTAGTAAACAATAAATAAACCCATCCTTAAGTGATGTGATTCTTGCTATAGATTTCTATAGAACATAAAAAGGAGCACGTCTTGCTGGTTGTTACTACTTTTTTTTTTTTGTTTTTCAGGCTACATCTGTGAAAGGAAGGACCTACTGGTGAATGGCTGTTGTAATGTCAACGTGCCCAGCACAAAGCTGTACAGCTGTGAGAGCTGCCTTCCCAACGGCTGCTGCAGCGTGTACGAGTACTGTGTTTCCTGTTGCCTGCAGCCCAGCAAGGTGTGTACACTGTCTCCTGCTTTCCACGTGTTCTCAGGCTCCTCTGTGGAATAGCGCTTGTTTGTGTGGAGCTTCTTCCTTAGAGGGGACAGTTCCTTTCCTGGGAAGGATGAGGAAAGCCTGCAAGGACCATATGGCAAGCTATAAATAAAGCTTCAAAAACATTCATCCTTCCCACCTTTGAGAGGAGGTACTGGGAGCCTTGTAAAACGTTTCAGCTTCACGGGAGTTGCGTTTGCTGAAGGGAAATGGTTGCAGAAAAGCTATTCCAGCCAGTATCAGTTCTGGAATTAGCACTTCCCTGTGTTCTGTTAGTTTCTCGAGATACTTTTCCTCCTGCCAGGCTTCCATGATGTATTGACCTTTCAGTGCTTGCTGGAAATTCTGAGTTACTATTACTCTGATACTTGAGCTGTGTACGTTAAGGTGGGCTTTGATTACTCCTTGCTGGGCGTTGATTACACCTTGATGGTGTTTGTGTTTTTTTTATTTTGTCCTCTTTTTTTGCTAACCACTTTAGCAACATCTTCTGGAACGTTTCTTGAATCGGGCAGCTATTGCTTTCCAAAACCTCTTCATGGCAGTGGAAGATCGCTTTGAATTGTGTCTGGCGAAATGCAGGACTTCATCACAGGTAAGACATGAGTACACGTCCAGGGCTCAAAAATGGAAAAATACCCCAAAAGTGCCCTTGGAAAATGGGGCTTGGTCCTAGGAATGGCTGGTCTGCGGTGCTTACATGCACACGGGCATTTTCCTGAACACTGAAGCTATGGCTGGGAGCTGGTCTGCAGGCAATCCTCTGATTTGTCAGGTGAAATAGTAACATCAGCAGTAAATGAAAGGCAAAGTGCTATTCATCCTTCCCACCTTTGAGAGGAGGTACTGGGAGCCTTGTAAAACGTTTCAGCTTCACGGGAGTTGCGTTTGCTGAAGGGAAATGGTTGCAGAAAAGCTATTCCAGCCAGTATCAGTTCTGGAATTAGCACTTCCCTGTGTTCTGTTAGTTTCTCGAGATACTTTTCCTCCTGCCAGGCTTCCATGATGTGTTGACCTTTCAGTGCTTGCTGGAAATTCTAAGTGAGTTACTATTACTCTGATACTTGAGCTGTGTACGTTAAGGTGGGCTTTGATTACTCCTTGCTGGGCGTTGATTACACCTTGATGGTGTTTGTGTTTTTTTTATTTTGTCCTCCGTTTGCTGAAGGGAAATGGTTGCAGAAAAGCTATTCCAGCCAGTATCAGTTCTGGAATTAGCACTTCCCTGTGTTCTGTTAGTTTCTCGAGATACTTTTCCTCCTGCCAGGCTTCCATGATGTGTTGACCTTTCAGTGCTTGCTGGAAATTCTAAGTGAGTTACTATTACTCTGATACTTGAGCTGTGTACGTTAAGGTGGGCTTTGATTACTCCTTGCTGGGTGTTGATTACACCTTGATGGTGTTTGTTTTATTTTGTCCTCTTTTTTTTGCTAACCACTTTAGCAACATCTTCTGGAACGTTTCTTGAATCGGGCAGCTATTGCTTTCCAAAACCTCTTCATGGCAGTGGAAGATCGCTTTGAGTTGTGTCTGGCGAAATGTAGGACTTCATCACAGGTAAGACATGAGTACACGTCCAGGGATCAAAAATGGAAAAATACCCCAAAAGTGCCCTTGGAAAATGGGGCTTGGTCCTAGGAATGGCTGGTCTGCGGTGCTTACCGAAATGTAGGACTTCATCACAGGTAAGACATGAGTACACGTCCAGGGATCAAAAATGGAAAAATACCCCAAAAGTGCCTTTGGAAAATGGGGCTTGGTCCTAGGAATGGCTGATCTGTGGTGCTTGCATGCACACGGGCATTTTCCTGAACACTGAGAGCTGATCTGAAGGCAGTCCTCTGATTTTCAGGTGAAATAGTAACATGAGCAGTAAATGAAAGGCAAAGTGTGTATTTAGAGCAGAGTGAGTTGTATGCTCTCCTGAAAAAAGAGGTACTTAAATAAAAAGAAACTAGCTGAGTTCAATGACCAGTGAAGATCTCAATTAGTTCTGGAGAAGATCTCATAAGGATGAGAACAGTGAGAGTTTTTCCCCAGTAGTTTCAGAATGCTATTTACTTACTGGTACATTTTTAGGCTTACCATATGCTGAGGAGTGTCTGCATAGCAACTCAAAAAGTATCTTCTATTTTTTTTGCTTTTTAAGAACAGAGGTGAACTTCTGTTACTCGTGTGATTCTTACTAGAAATTATGGTCTAAGCAAGCATCAGCCCTCTTAGAAAGTGCAACTAGAGATGTAATGCAGCTTGAGTATTTAATATAGTAATAGGGATGGATTGCAAACAAAGGACATAGTTCCAAATGTCTCCAAAGTTGGTTTAGGTTTGTTTTGGTTTTTTTTACCCAAAGTCTCTGAACTCTAGCTTTGTAAAGAAAAATGCACACACATCAAGTAGCAACTTATTATGCCTTGCTTGCTTAGGACATCTTACGATACTGCCTAAGCAAACATAATTTTTTTAAATATTGAATCTGTTCCCACCTACTTGAGTAGCCTCCTGAAAAGGAGGTCCTGGGTATGGTTTGACATTAAAGTGTTATAGTATAGCAAATGTCTTTTATATGTTGGGAGTGCAGTGGTGTTTTCCCAAATTCATCTGGAGTCAGTGTTTTGCATGTGTATATACACTCTGGGTTTTGGCCCTCAGAGAAGGGGTGTATTATTTCATTATGGGTGTATTGATAAAGCTTCTCCTCCTCTTTCTGACAGAGCGTGCAGCATGAAAACACCTACAGAGATCCAATTGCAAAATACTGCTATGGTGAATATCCCCCTGAGCTTCTGCCTGTTTGAAAGCTGCATGATCTAAGCAACAAAGGGAAGGAACTGGAGACTGGAATCCAAAAGAGCAAGACAATGGCTGTTTTTTTACAAGACTCTCAGTGTAAATGACTTGCGTTGTTTCTGGGGACAAACCCAGAGGCGTATGGACCTAAATTCTCTGGGATTGAATCTGGCTCTCTTTGGTTTGTTACACACCTGCATTGAAGTACTAGAGCACTAGTGTGCTCTTTGAATACTTCCTTTAATTTTTAGGATGGGTGGAGTCGATATAGGCTATAAAAGATCATGGGGAAAATATCTAATGTAGCTTTGCGGCCGTATATGGGAGTTCAGTTGTGTCTCTGGACTGCAGAGACTTTCCAGAGTGACAGTAATAATTGGAGGATTTTTTGCTTTTAGGGAGTAAAGCATGCCTGTTGTGCTTCTCTCTCTGGAGCGCTTCTTGATGTGCATGGTGTATGCTACATATGTAATTATGAATTATTTATTCATTTTATATGGATTACTAGCTGAAACTATTGATGCCTTGCATAGCTAGTTGTTGATGCCTTTCGGTCCCTGTTCTGTTACATCAGGTAGAAAGGATATTTTAGATCCTGACTGAAATTGGTTGATTGTTCTCCTCCTTAGTCTAAAGGAATTGCATTGGAATTTGTCACTGTAGTGCTTATGTTCCTTGTAGTGAGTTTAAAGCATTCAGAACTCCAATGGAGTTGTTATTCTGTCCAAGCCCCATAGCACAAGAAAAGAACAGGGATCTGCCTGGGATGGGATGTTTATTGTCTGTAAACACTTTCCTTGTCAACTCTGCAGCAGTTTCCTCAAAGAGGAGTCTTAGTCTTGTGAACACCTCTCTTCCTGACAGGGAGCACTGAAGATTTGTTTGCTTGTACTTGTTCAGGCCTTGGCAATTCAAATTGTACTTCACTCCTGGTTGTGCAGGAGGCAGAAGGGTGGAGTTGTTCTAGGATTTCAGTTTAATGATGTCCTTGTGCATGAAGTAATTGGAATGTCAGAACATGGCTCAAGCCCTCCTCTGAGGACAAATGTGTTGCATGAGTTCAGTTGAACAGTGATGATGTTTTTGATTTGCTGTTTGACATACTGGCTACTCTGGGATTTCAGTCTGATCAGAACGGCACTACAACAGGGTTGGTTCTCCCACAATTTCTCCTAGCTCTGTGAAGCTCCAGTTTAAACTTCCTCTCTCTTAGGGTCACTCAACACAGAAAAGATGGGTAGAAAACCTGTAAAATGTTGACTAAACTTGTGCTCCCTCTGCAAGTCAGTGGGCGAAGTCCAAGTGCTAGACAAAATCAGGTTGTTCTTTTCTATGTACAGAGCCTCATTTCTCTTGTTTTTTACCCCATTCATCTCCTTCATGATTTTGACTTTGCGGATGCTTGTTTAAACTGATACTTCCTATTCCCTGACTCAAATAAAACAATCTACAGAGGCTTTAAAAAAAAAAAACAAAAAACCAACAAGCACAGTGGTGGAGTATCTTGGTGCAAAAGGTCTGTAGAATGCTATTGCAATTACGTATGATATTAAAAAAGTAGTGTTACCAGCCATCTGATAAAATCCACTTGCGTTGTTTTCATTGTTCTTTCCCAAAAGTCATCGAGTGAGATAATGGTTCCACCAGCAGATTCTCTCGAAAATCTTGTTTTTTCCAAAAGCTTAAAAGCTTTAGTGTTAGCAGTTTATCCAGCTGAAAATCTGTCTCCCCTTTGCTGCCATCCTACGGCAGCTCGCTGCAGCAGACATGATACAGTGTGAAGATGCAGTGTGAAATGCTGTCTTCAGAGGGTAGCAGAGGTTACTTCTCTTTTCAGTGTTAAAGAGATTCTTCACCCCTGTTCCAGCACTTCATAACTGTTTTCCTCAGGGAAGGCCATCAGGTTGGTCTATTGTATCATTCCTGCTGAGATGTATTCCAGCACTTCATGGTTTTGCACAACTGCTGAGATCAAGATACTGATAGCTTGCTCTTGCCTCCTTTTTCAACTTGGTATTAATTCCTTAGCAGGCGATACTGCTGCTTGAAGCTGTAATTGTGTGAAATCATAAGAACCAACCTAATTTGGACAACATTAGTGGTAATCCCTGGCCCTTTTCTTTCCTAGAAAAATAGGATGTGCATTGTGACCACTATCCAGTCAAGGGGACAGAAACTGCATCCTCCCTCCCTGGTTGTTGAGCTGTTCAACTAGTGTCTATACTATATGTTAAATCATTAAAAATTTGTCTGTGTTCCAAAATACTGCCTGTTCTCTTGTCTCTTCTTGAACTACACGGCAAAGGTACCAAAATGTAAGTTTGAAGAATGCAGAGCAGCAGAGAGGGACACTAACTTGAATATGTGTAATAGAGGCAAACAGAAGATCTATTTCATTTCAGTCCACGAAAAGACTATGCTGTGGTGCACAGAAAGATTTGGCCCTTTGCAAAAGTGGATTGAGCAGGGAAAGGAAGGTAAACGATGGCTTCATATTGTGAAGATTTGGTGAGAATGTCAAATCAGTGCTTCCTGGTAATACTTCTGTGTGGATTAATGGATGTTGATCCATCTTGCAAAAAAGCCTGGTGATTCTGTGGTTGTCAGTGGCTGTCTGACATCTCCTTTCTATTTGTCAGCTAAGAGACTTGTGTTTGGCAGCAGATTTAATGAGAGCACTCAATGGAGCCACTAGCTCTGCTTATCTGCACTGAGGTCAATGCTGGGGATAATTGAATGGCTTGTGTACTCCTTGCTTTCTGTAGTTTACAAGAGTATTAATGCTAGTGAAAAATGACAGCAGCTGACATCTAACGAGGAACAGGTATAGTATTTGGCTATACCAATTTGGAAAGAGTAATCAATGGCAGGAGGGCAAAGCAGTAACTGCCGTCGTTGCTGAATTTAAACTTGAGCCATTGGCCTTGAAAGAACCTGCTGTACTGCTCCATTGGGATGGTACACAGAAAATGGGATAAAAATTTTTATTGTGGTGGGCTGGAGTTCTGAAAAGGCACATGCAGACTTCTGGCTTTGGGCACACACTAAACAGTTGATGAGTTGGGATGATGGTTTCTGCGTTCTCAGACTCTCACTTATTGTAGTGGTAACTCTATCTCCCGTATGTGTTCAGGCCCAGATTGCTTGGAGAACTAACAAACTATGTCAGCAGTCAATTTGAGAATATAAAGCACTAAGCACTGCAAATCCTAAACATGAGACTTTGTTCTGATAAGTTGTTAAAAAGCAAATGCATGTTTCACTTGCCTTGTCACTTAGCTGGACAGGCTTGAGCTTTAGGATTTGTTCTGTCTTGTGCTAGTCACTTAAACTGCAAAGACACTAGATTCTTTAACCTAGCACCATAATGTGATATTTGTTCTTCAGTTATTCTAGTCAAGGAGAGGTGGGGGAGGAGGTGAAGAGGAATTTTCTAACTCAGCAAGTTCCACAAAAGATGGAATTCAGCAAATTATTGGTGCTTTAATAAGAGCCCTCTGCATTGCTTTACAACCTGAGGCAAACAGCTAACTATATGCAGGGGGGGAAGCCAACTTCAAAACCTGCAGGGAATGATGGGAAAGTACTTAGTTCTTCATTTTTGATCCGTGTCTAATTAAACAGGCAGTTCTAGCTAATATTTTTGGTCAAATAAGGTCTGACTTGTAGCAACATGCATACTGTCTACACAATGTTTTCCATTTTTGAGGCAGTCACATGGCCACAGATTTTTCTTAAAAATCATGGCTCTTAGTAGATTAAAAGTATAGGTTTTAAGCAAGAATTCTCAGGATGCCTTGAGATTGAAGCATGTTTGCTGCTGTGGTCTGCTGTTTCACTTATGGGTAAAATAACAAAATGTTGCAGAGTAGAGAAAATTAAGAAGTTAACTCTGGCTGAAAAGTTTGCCTCGTAGAAGCTTTTCTAGTATGTATTTCAATTAAGGGGATAGAAGACCACAAGCTATAGTTGCAAATGGAATGGGAGGCAAGTGTTAGGTTTTCCGTAGATGAGATGACAATTAATCTTTCTACTGTTAATGGTTGAAATGAGGACCAGCACCTGATTTTTTGCCAATTTAATGGAAGCTTCCAATAAAATCCAGCGTTCATTTATCCTGTGTGTTTTCTGTCTCTCTGCATGCACCTATAGAGTGAGGCACGCTAACAGGAATCAAGGTGGATGGGAATCATATGTCAATTGTCTGAGTTCTGTTCCTGTCCCACACAAAAACTGTTTAGATTTTAAACTCCTCAGAGCAAAAAGATAACTGTACACTTATAGTTCCTATGACTTCTGACCAGGGCCTCACCTGGTGCCTTTAATGAACCTATTGATATAAGTAACACCTGTCTTATACAGATATGAAATATCACCCTTTGAAGAAGTGGGATAAGGCTAAGTATGAGTCACTGGTCTGACATGTTTGTTTTAACACCAAAAAATGTAGCATCCTAAGCTACTGATGTTGTCATATGCATAAAAAGGGATCCATCAGCTGAGCTGTGAAAGATGACACTGGGTATGCCATATCCACATCTTCAAATGGAAAAAATGTAGATTATTTGCAAACTAGAGTTACAGACCTGCTCAGTCATAACAGTTGTGCGGAGGAAATAAACATGTTCATACATGGAAGAACAGGGTCCTAATTTATCTAAATCGCTCATGCCTTTGAAATACACACTAAACCGATAAACCCCAATCCTCTGTAGCAGCAAATACATACACAAGCATGAGTAAGTAAATGTAATGTACCTGTTCTGATGCCTTTTTGTCTGCTCAGCTGTTGTGGGGGCCTGCAAGCTTCCTTCCAGCGGGGTGCCCGGGCCGGTGCAATGGCGACCATCAGCCAGCAGAGGCCACCACAGCCCTTGGATAAAAGCCGGATAAAAAGCTCCTCCCCGGCTGGCAGCCGGCCTGCGGAGCCGGGATTCGCTTGGTGAAAGGCAGAGGAACCTACAAGAAGGAAACACGAGCGGTTACTTTGCTCCAGGAAAACGTGTGGAGTGTCTGACTGGAACGACTGCTGCACCTTTGGGCCCGGCCGCCAGAACCCGCAAAATAAACTCACCTCAGAGGGCTGGCCTGGGTGCTCTGTGAAAGCACCCACGGTACTGGGGCCACCTGGTTGACAATTGTTCTATTAAAATAATAATGCTAATTAAAAAAAAAAAAAAAGAAACAACCCTGACCCTCACGGTAGGGGGAGAAACGGGAGAGATTTGCCCGATGGCTGCTGTGTGGTGTAGCCTGTCATGGCGGCTCTGCTCTCCTCACACCGCGCTCTGCGAAGGCGGTGAACGCAGCTCCTCCCTCCCCGGCGGTGCTCCGAAGGTGTGAAGGGACGGCTCTGCCGTCGAGGCCGGCGTTTCTCCTCCAGGGCCGAGGAGGGCTGGCTGGGGGCGACCGCTCCTGGCCGCGCCATCGCCCCTCGGCACCGCTTCCCGTCTTTTTCCCCTCACGGAGCTCCCCCGTTAGGGGCGAGGGCAGCCCCGGGCTGAGGCGGCCGTTGTGGTAACGAACCAGGCCCCGGGCTCGGACCGGGCTCCTACCGCGCGCAGAACTCCACAACCGTGTCCGGACCTCGGCGGCAGGACCGTCCTCTCCCCCTCTCCCCGCCCGGAGGCGGCTCCGACAGGGAGGAGCGAGGTAAGGCGGTGTCCTGGTGGCGGAGGGCTCATGGCGAGGGGCCTCGACGCCCAGGTGCCCTTCTGTTTCAGCACTAGTTTTGCTTATGCTCTCATGGATGCTTCTCCTGACTTAAAAAAAGGTTGTTTTCCTTTTATTTTTTTTAATTTTTTTTGGTTGCCTTAACCTCTTAACCTGTTGTGTCCCCGGTACCCGGGGAATGGCCGGGGGGGGACGACGGGCTGGGCCTGCACCCGACCTCGGAGCCCTCTGGTTCTGCCTTTTAACCTCCTGCCACCCTTAAACCTGCTCTCGTTTTTTATCTCTCAGCTGACTGACTGCTCTGGTTTATCTTTTTCCCCTCCTTTCCTCTCCTCAGGCCCTTCTTTTCCCCCATTCCCCTGCTCTGCCTTGGATCTGTCTCGGCTGTAGTTACTGAAGGTTGAAATAGCACAGCAGTTATTCTCCCTCTTGGAGAACACCTTGCTTTTCTCAGTGAGGAGAGGTGGTGCAGCACTCCTCCTTGCTTTTCAGGTAATATGGGGTCTCTCTACTCCTTTTCTCCCCCTTCTCAATTTCTTTTCGCCCCCACTTTCCTCTGGTGCTGGCTGTAGCTTTCCAGAGGCTCAGTCCACCTTTGCTTTGAGTATTTTTCCAAAATTTTGTACTATCGTGGTTGCAGTGCGTGTTAAAAGGCATATCCAGCCAAAGTTTCAGAGACAAAACTAGAGTTTCTCGGCACCTGTGCTGTCAGCTGGGCTAGGAAGCAGAGTATGGATTTTCCCATTAATGTTGCATTTATCCCTAAGAACTTAGATCTTGGACCTGGATTCTGGTAGGCAAATGCATCTCAGATATATGGGTTTTTCTCTGGTCAGTATGCATTTACTTTTTCAGCAACAAGAGTTCTGAACCTTTGTGAAAGTTACTGAAAACGGCTGGATTGTTGAAGAAAGCATTTGTCCTAATTACGATGTCCTATCTTTCTGCCAACAGCAGATGAGGCTGCTTGCAGGAGAAATATGACTTATGAAAAAGAAAGGTGTATGTGCTGTCTGATCTCGATCTTTCATTGTGAAAAATGTATGTTTAGAGTTTGTTCTGATGTCAAAATAGCACCAGTTAAACTTTTTCTTGAGTCCTTACTTAAAATTTTGTTATTATCTCAAAATGAGGCCAGGTGAGTTGTGTTCATGAACCTTCATCTCACTGTATGGAAGCCTAGCCTTATGCTGAAAAGTAATTCTAAAAAACCTATATATAAGCAATGATCTCTTTTGCTTCATGGTACCTGGGAAGACTTGTTCTCAGTGTTCAACGTGCTTTTTTTCTGTCCTGCTAGTTTGTGAATTCAAGCCGGCTTTTGTCCGTATCACACGTATTCCTATTTATACAAGTTTAGCAGTTGGAAGTGAGATGATTTACTGGTACACGAACCTAACAGTGGTGTAATCACAAACCAGGTCCACTCCTAAGGCTATAATATATTTAAAAATAAGTGAGAACTTATTTTTGTACTTGTTTATTATCTGAAGATGGACTAATGATGTTTCAAAGTTCTGAGTTCTTCTCTACAACTTTAGAGGTTTCATTTTTCTGTCTTGTGTAAAAAAGGAGGTTTCTATATGGCCACC